TTATGTGCGTACTCGACAAGTTTCACTGATATCTGCTGTAGAATTTCTGAGAAAATGTTGGATACGGAAAATGGAATGTTGGAGACGGAAAATGGAATATAGAAAACGGATTACCGGGGTATTATAATTATTATTTTGAATTGTTACATGTATCGCACATAAACATTTGAGCTTAAAGGCCACAGTTTACAGAGATGACCACATCTCGGTAAACTTGTGTTTCTTTCCACTGACTCAAGTTTTTCCATCCAGTTAAATTATGTTGTACAGTGAACACACCATATCAGCCATGGCAGCCAATTGTTTACAATGTACAAAAACACAATAAGATTCAATTCCGGCATGGCAACAATTTTCTGTTTTAAATTTTTGTGGAATTTTGAGCATAAAATCAATTGGTCATCATGAAACTGACCAAAAAACAAATGTACATGTCTCCCGAAATGCATGATTAGCCTGGGCATATCCAATATACAGATGGGGGACGTACAGAGGTCAATCTGTAAGTTCTCATTTTAGACATCATTAGAATGGGAACTAATCATTACATATGCATACACACAGGAACACCACTCATTAAACTATCTCTTGTTTTAGGATGTGTCCAATGTGGAGTTTAAAGTAATGTAACTTACCTGCTTCTACAAAGCAGAATGAGATCAATAATAAAACACTGCCAAGCTTTGTCTTTATTCAGTGCATCTAATGCAGCTGGTTGGAGAGCTAGACTCAAAGTCAAAACTTCTAATGCTTCTTTGCAAAGTGTAATGTCTATTTCTAGAGGTTTGAATTCTTTACTCTGCAATTATATATCAAAAAAATTCATCGTTATTTATAAAGAACTGTTCATATGAAACAGATAGTTTCATGCATCTTTTGTGTGCATTTTAAAACAATAAATTCTCATACTGTGCAAGAAACATGCTATATAATTATAACTAATTTAGTAATCAAGCAAACAAATGAACATAAAAATATTTTCAAAACAAATTAGTGGATAAATAATGTAATGATTTAGAATACATCAAAGAGACAAAACATAGGCACAATACAAGACCATCTATGACTGGAAGCTAGCTACCTCCAGTATATCACTAGTTTGAGCATCTTGACCATCTAGATTGGATAATACATCACCGGACTGTGAAAGAAGCAAACATTCTGGCTGAAAATGAGAAATGAGCACCACCTGAAAGCAATGGCTCAAAATAATCAAAGAACTCTTTGTGTGCAAAGTGTATTCAAGACTTTTGAAGTAAACAGAGAGTTTATTAAAATTGATTACACATGTGTGGTTTGCAGTCTGTGGCTAATTCAAACACATCTACATGCATGCACTAAGTTTAAATAAAAATCCAAGTGGTTCTTGAAAGTGGATCTCAAAAAGTGGCCAATCTATGATAATTTATAAGTAGGCATTTCCTTCAAAAACTAATTTGGTCTGTGTTTTTATGGACCTAGTACACATATGCATTTGAAAAATAATTTTATGTTTTGCTTTAGGACCAAATTTAGAGAAATGATGTCACACAGTCAAAACCTGTAAATGGTCAAGGTACTCCCATATCTTAAAAACTTCATTCTGGTTTAAATCTGATAGGGACTAATACATTACAGTACAGTTCTCGCGGAAGCTTTGGCTTTTGTGGCATCATTGTCGCCTACGCATGGCTTCATTGTCGCCTCAGCATCGCATCATTGTGGCATCAGCTTCGCGTCATTGAAAATTGAAGCTGTGTTCGCCTCGCTATTTTGTGGCATCATCGTGGCCTCAGCTTCGCAGTCTCATGGCATCAACATGGCATCAGCTTCAACTTATTGTGACATGAGTATGACCTCATTATTTGCACGCAGAAGGGCAGTAGACAAAAACATGTACAGAAGTTCAATATGTAATCGATTTGAAATTCAAGGCAAATAAAATAATATGATCAAGAGTATTTATGACATTTT